TTTAGAGACTTAGAACCGCAGACTGTGTAAATGTTTACATTGTCATTACACATGGTCGTACCTGAGTGTAAGAGTTTGGTCTTTTCATTAATACACGCATAGACGTTCTCAACAGAAGCAGTCATTTCACCGGGCAAAGTTGCCTCAAGAACATTTCTAATCTGTCATTAAAGATGTTTGTTCTTGCTGGCAGTTGTGACGATGACTCCAGGTTGGAGGTGTGAACTGTAGATGAGGTCCAGGGCAGGAGGGACGGTGCCATTATGTCCTGTATCTGTTAGAGTAGATCAATCAATAGTGGTTTAAATTAGACAAAAATTTATTGTATTAGAGAACGACTGATATTGGATTTTTGTTGCCAATACTCATATTAGGGAGTAAAAGTGAGGTATACAGCTTTTAAACACAGTTGAAAAAAAGCAATGGTATTAGATGGGTATTCAGTGTCAGCAGATTCCCTGAGTATAGGTTGAACTGTTGCGTCCCTAATTTTGTATTTTTAAATACTTACATTCTGGAGAAGTAACTGATCTGAGTTCTTGATGATGTAGTGATTGACATGCAGATGTCAGTGTTCTGAGATGTGAAACACACAAGTTTGTTGTACCGCTAACCCTACATGTTTTTACGAAAGATGATGAAACATGAGATCAGTTTGAGTGGAGCCCCAGAGAAACATACGACCCTAGAAGAAATCAGGTCATGTACAGAATATAGTCGGCCTGTACAAAGTATGACTGGCAGACACCCATGGGCACACATGGCGAAGGTAACCGGCTTGTATATCCCCAAAACAAAGGATGTCTGGAAAAGGAAGTCTTAGGGCAATCAGATGTGGAAGCCTCAAGGACCCATGTGAAATCCACAGCCGAAAATAATCCAAACAGGAGGCAGTCGTACAGCTGGGAAAACAGTGCAGAGATGACAGGGACAAATAGAGACATTTTTCACCAAACTCTGAGTCATATTCAGGAGGCTGCAGGAGACCAAAGACAAACTTATTCAGCCACTGTTCTCCCACATCTCTGATCTCTTACACAGACACACACACCAGCGCTGGCAGATGCTACAGTCTACCTTTATAAGCCAGTGTATGAGATCGGATGATAAGTGTTATGCTCATGCTATGGCTGTGACAGTTTGTGCTTCTGAATCTACAGTACCTTGTCCTGCTCTTCATCTCTTTTATTTTGATAAACACGGTTCGTATACTCGCAGTATGTGCCTGACCAAATTTACTTTAACGCCCACTCACTCTCTGTAAAGCGATTAAAAAAAAAAAAAAAAAAAACAAACATAAATTTAAAGATTTAGAGCTTCTTTTACACTATTCAGCTATTCAGAGGTAAGATAAAAAAGAGGAACTGTGTGTTGTTCAGAGAGTTTACTCTCATTCATTTTTTATATATCTCAAAGCAGCAAAGCACAACGTTGCTCCATTTTAATTTAATTAGGCAGGTTGATCTGAATATTCATTTACTACTGTAATAAACAGTAATTATTGACAGTTTTGTCTTGAATAGGGGCATCATTTGGCAGTTCCAGTCTTATTTGTCAGATTTAATTCATGAAAAAAATAAGCAGCATGGTTTTATTTTGACTAACAATGTATTAATGGAATATTTATAATTTGTAAAATGTCAGCACAGATTCTTTAAAGCCTCTAAAAATACCATTGTGTCCTGTTGTATAAGTTCACAATTTCTTAAATTCATTAGACTATAGGTATGATATCCCTCTTTCCCTTAGCTTTAATGTTTTTTTTTGTTTGTTTTTTTTCATTGAATTTTAATCTGAATTTAATTTGTTTGGTGGCTGAGAGCTGAGTGCACTGCAAATCAAGAAACGGATGCAAATAAACAGAACACAAGAAAGTGAAGAACATCTTCACCATTTTGACAACACATGCATCACATTAACAGAAAATCCTCGAATAAGTAGATCACAAGCAAATTAAGAAACAAATTCACCAATTTAACTAAACATATGCAAATTACAAGTTTACAAATACAGAAAACAACACAGAAATGCTGCAAGTCATACACAACATTGAACTAAGTGAAAACACAATAGAAGTTTCCATGGGACACTTCAAACTGAATGCACTGGTAATTGGCTAATGCTAGTAGGTACATTATCATTAGCTATTTACCATATTAGAATATGAGATTCACATTTCATGAGAAATAAACAAAAGTAAACATTGTTAATTCTTTTTCGATCATGATTGATAGGTGGTTCATGTATCCAGTGTTGAGTTTATAGTGTCCCCCTGGAAATATCCGTTGTGTCATTTATAACTTACAGAATTTCTGTATTTGTTTTGTTTGCTCTTTATTTATTTTTGTGAGATATGTAATGTCAAACTGGTGAATGTCTCTAATTTGCTTGTATTTTATTTATTTTCTCTCTTATTATGATTATCATTCTATGCAATATATATATCTTGTCAAAGTGTTTGAATTTGATTTTAGAAAAAACCTAGGTGTGTGTTGCTCTGGAGATACTGATCGCCTGGCTAACTGTTTCCTACTGCTTTCAATCTTTATGCAAAGCCAAGCTAATTGTCTGCTGTTTGTATTTACGGTACAGGCATGAAAGTCGTACCAATCTTCTCATCAAACTCTCAGCTCGAAAGAGAATCCCAGAACCTCTAAACTGTTCCTTTTAAATTTTAGAGCGTTGAACTTTGTCATAATGTCAGAGTTTCTATTTTAATTCAAGACTGAATCAGCATATTTCAGTCTATGTACATCTGTCATATTTCATATGATGGATCTTATATTAATAGAACCTGAGTATTGTTTTCCCTCTGAGATGTTTGTACTGTGTGTAAACATCGTATGACAGTCAATCATTAATGCATACAATATACTGCAGTACATTTCCTACTGGTTACAAGTACTACCTGCTCTCTGATCCACAATGAAATGTGTTCCTTTATATCATTTCTCAGTGTTCTACATTCATAAACTATTCCCTCCCAAGTCTCAGTTCTTGACACCATTCAGGCTCAGAGGGGATGAACCCTACACACAGAATAGCTAATACAGCTACCATCAGTTCAGAAACAGAAGAGCAATACCAGAATCCTTGTCTTGTCATTTCTCACAGGCTTAGTCTCGCTTTTATCTTTTGATGTACACTGTATCCTGGTGTAATGCAGCATTCATGTCTCTTTATCCACTGTGTACCTGGGCTGACTCAGCAATAGAACAATTCTCAGTGAAATGATGTTGTAGTTTTGCTAAGAAAGAACTTGAAGGACATTTTTGCTAAATGCAATATGTCACTGGCACAGTCTTGCAAATATCAACGATCTGGAGTAGAGAAGAAAATCTGGCCTCAGGATCAGTCGCTCTGTCTCCCAGGACCATTTTGAATCAGTGTGTCTCCACTGTTTGTATTATGGAAAATATTTTTTAATTAGCCCATTACTTGTGGTGCATCTGCAAGTGACATTTTTCAGATATAAAAGCTCTTTGCAACTTTTATCAGAGTAAAATAATTTATATTCTCTGGACAGGAAAACAGTTCTTTGTGATTGTCAGACAGGCTGTTGTATTTCAAATTGGAATAATCCATTTGTAATGATGAGCATTCAACACCATGTCCAAAGTGAATGAAATAGATCAAATGGATGATTGGGAGTGATGGCTCTCTTGTCTCAACTTGTTTGATTTTTTTTTTTTTTTTTTTTTTTTTTTTTTTTCACCCCACTGAAAAAAAGATGTTAACAGCATTTAATCATGGACACTTGATTGAATGAAAAAAGTACAAGCAAGAAGGCAAATAACAGTCATATTTACTGCAAGGTTTACACTCGGTGTAATAAAATGCTCATTTGGAATAGTTGTAAATGTCATTTTTTATAATTTATTGTAACTCCAAACAAAAATAATTTCTACAAAAAATAGTCAAATAATGTCATATAATATTGATACGTGGTTGATATCTTTTCTCTCTCTTTTAGACTTCTGATAAGTTAAATTCTCTTAAATTCTGCTTCCTGAATACTGTGTGAAGATTAAATCTCGCTAAGTGTGGCAACAATCACTCATTCCTATAACAACCATAATAGTGACTAAATTTTTATAATTCGTAACCCCCTGGATATTATATAATATGTATAATCTCAGCGACTGTTAGTGGGCACATTAGATACAATGACTGAAGATATAATTTTTTTTTTAAAAAATGCAGCAGAAATAGAATAAATGTAAAATCAAGTCTCATCTTTTAAGAGGAAATGAAACCTGGTTAATATGCTATGTAGGCCTCAGCAGCAGGATCAAATGCACAGCTCGCCTCCCGACCTGTTTGTCGTGTCAACGTGTCTTGTCCTCTCACCGAGTCTGACCACACACACTGGCCATCAGTCTTAAGGAGGTGAGATCCTTAAATCAACCAAGAAAAAAAAAAAAAAAGGAAAAAAAAAGGTCCTTGTGGTTACAACAGCCATTCCCTTTGAAGTGAAACAGTGGTGATTTAAGTGTTTTGTTTATGCTTTTTGGTTTGATGCACATTGCTCCAGCTCAGAAATAAAGGGAACAGTGGTTGGTATGATTTTTTTTTTTTTTTTTTTCCCCTTCGTCTGCATCTCTTTTCTCTGAGGTCACTCCCTGTTTTTCTCTGTTTGTCCTTCTTCTCACAGCTGAGCACACATTCGGTATCATAACCGTCCTGTGAGGTGTGTGTGTGTGTCTGAGTGTCTGAAAGGTGACCGGGGATAGTAAGTGTTGTGTGTGTGTGTGTGTGTGTGTGTGTGTGTGTGTGTGTGTGTGTGTGTGCTCTTTTGCGAGTGCTGCTGAAGAGTGTGTGTGTGTGTGTGTGTGTGTGTGTTTGTGTGTGTGGGTGAGGGGAGTGTGTGTGTGTGTGTGTGTGTGTGTGTGTGTGTGTGTGTGTGTGTGTGTGTGTGTTCACTGGGTCCATGACTGGGACGGCCCTACCTACTCTGGGTCTCCCCTCGCCTTACGTACACACACATATACATACACTCCTTGGTCTGAGGGGTGGGGTGGGGGTTCGTGGCTCAGTGGGGAGTTAACATGGCCAGCAGGTGGGCTAGCAGAGTGCAGAGCAGCAGGGTGGCCATGGAGAGGTGCGGCGAAGAGGCGGCATTGCAGTCCTTGCCCGCCTCGCAGCGGGAGTGTTGGCACAGCACCCCCTTAAACTCTGGAGGACAGATGCACTTCTGGTTCTGGTAGCACGTTCCTCCGTTCTGGCACAGGAGCATCTCTTCATCGCAAATGTTAGCTGTGAGTTGAGATGAAAGCAGACAGAAAGAGCAGGAGAGGGTGAAGTAGTTGGAAAGAGGGAGAGTGAAGGAATTGCAGATGTAAGGAGAATGAGAGAGGAGTTGGGAATAAAGAGGATGTAGCAAAGTGACAGGTGGTAAAAGGATAGTGGGGGAGTAAAGAGCACAAAGAAAGATGTATGGCAAAGTGACAGACAGGTGGGTGAGGATAAGGAGGGGCAATGTTGGAAAATGCATGATTGGAAACAGCGATACAGGGGCAGGAGCAGAATTCAGGGCAGAGAGAACAAAGTAGAAAAGAAAGCAGGAGGAAGGAAAGAGGCAAGATAAATTCTCCAGTCTTTGCCTCAGGGACAACAACAGGTAACACCTGCCTTTTTCTGTTTTTGCAGCCCTTTTTTCTGTCTGTTTTTCTTGAGCCTGCATTTTCTCAGGGTCAAGTTAAAATCATTGTCTGAAACCCAGCAGAAAATACATTGCATGTGTGATGTGTTAAGTAATGATTGGAGGTACAAATAGCATCATTAAAATGCTATAAAAGACATTAGAAAATGTGCAGAGGTAGTTGTACTGCACAAGATACTTGACCTGAAAATGTTCTGAGAGAGAATCAGGCTTCCATGACAAGAAATAATTACATCAGATAACATTTTTTATTACACCAAAGGTAATTGGCTCTGATGCATCGGAGTATTGGAGTAAGATGTCAAACCTAAAACATACTGTCCTACTATTTACTACAATGTGCCCTATGTTGTAATAAATAAACCTACATTGAAAATACATGCATGCCAGTGGAGGTTTAATGTGTGTGTGTGTGTGTGTGTGTGTGTGTGTGGGGGGGGGGGGGGGGTCTATTTGAGACTGAGGCCTTTGACTAGATGGTAGATGGTGGAGGAAGGCGATTCCCTGTAATGGGGTTAAGGTGTGACAGGGTCATCAATTAAAGGAGCAGCTGATGCTGCTAATGAGCTACATGATCTATTCCCCCGGGAGTAAAGAAAACATCAGGCGATGCACTCAGGAGGGACCTGGAAGGCTACAACATTTTTTTCAACCCTGGTTTTTTAGACATGAACCCACAAAAAATCACTGTCCTTATACTCACGATAACAGCCTTGTTTCCAGTAGTAGCCTGGCAGACAGTCGTCGCACTTGGCCCCTGTGGCACCATCTTTACACTGGCAGAAGCCTGTACCGTTACACCGGTCATGAACAGAACCCATCTGGTTGCAGTTACACTCTGAAGGAAGAGTGGTGGAGGAAAAAGAGAGAGTGTGTCATTTAGAAATTCCTGCCTGTTGTAATTTTTTGGGGGATTTGATCTACAGTCGAATTAAGTTCAGCCAAAAATGTGTGCATGTGTGTCAGACCACAGATTTGTCTTTGGTATTGAAGCACTTCAGAGCTACAGTACTTTGCATGTAAGGTGGAGTCTCTCCAGAGTACAGAGATGTCCCAAGATGCTGCAGATTCAGACCCAAAATTAAGGCTCTTTTATTTCTCCAGGCTTAGTTTTTTGTGTCAGTTTCAGTGTACTAAATATATCACAGCTTGTGATACATGTAATGCTGTCAGGACTAGAAATGACTGTGATTTAAGGCATTTCATTTTGCATGTTTTAACTGCATATCATAGGTCTCAGTTTTTTTTCTCACGCAGAATGCCACCTCTTCACAAACTGCTCCCAAGGTCTCTGAGAGGTTAACGTTTTAGAACAGTCTTTCAACAAATTTACTGGCACCCATCACACATCCTAACACTGTGAAGAGACTACAGCGACTCATCTAAACAGAAAAATGAAATGACAGATGTCCTATGTCAGAAAGTACTAAGTATCTCAGATGTTGTTTGGGAAACTAATCCCATTTAAATAGAACTGCAAGTTCTTTTGACGGTATGATATCTGCTTTCAAAGGCAGGTAGAATAAGTTTAGGGAACATTGTGGTATTTTGAACAGTTGTGAATCTTTTTGTTAAAATGAAATCAAACTTTATGATTCAAATGGCCAATCAAAACCACACCACAAACATTTAGTTAACCTCAGAAACACCCTTAATTCTCCCTTATAATCTACCTGTCTAAACATATTTTTGTTGTACTGAAATGTGAACTTTGTACTGAGATTCATGACACATAAGTCTAACAAAGATTTACCACTCAAGTTTTCTTCTCTTTAAGACAAGATCACATTGAATTTCTCTTTGGATCTTTTTTTTTTTATTTAATTCTCTGTGTTTCCCTCAGATGTCTGCACAATATTATCATTACAAATACATGTATTTTTAGACGTTGACTGATATCCAGATCAGTGGTAGCTGGTAGCAGATCAGAGATGGTAAAAAATTGCAGATCTGCATATTTGCGCTGCATTTGTGACTTGATTTTAGCCGATAGCTTGTCTTTTACTTAAACCCAAGATCAAATTAACAAATTTATTATAAAATATTCATAAAGGAGAAACAGGCCAAGATGCCCAGTTACACAACCACAGCGAGGCGGTTGGTGTCCCGTGTGTCTGTAGGTCATGTGCATTAATACTGGGATTGTATATGAGCCACTGAGAGGGAATGTGTGTGGATAATGTGTAGCTGTGTAAAATGTGTGGAAATGCATTAGTGTTAGAGGGCACATTGTTTCTTGCTCTAGAGATGGTGTGAACTGATTTTTGTTGCCATGCTCAGTGTGCCAGTGTGCTGGCAGATGAGCTAATGGGGCCTTATTTGTGCTGACTCCAAGGCCTGGCCCTGTGTGCTCCCCAACCATGGCGAGTTTACCCTCCAACCCCCTGCAGTCCACCTACAGATGGATCCAAATCAACACCAGATTTTTGCTCCACAGCAATGCAAACAAAGTGACCTCTTACTAGGACGTGCCCTTAACAAGGTGTAGAAAGTGTAGAAAGAGTAAATACGAATATGAATGCAAACAAACTGCATATATCACTGTCCAAAAAGAGTATTAATCAACTGTAGTCTGATGCTTCCGGGTGTTTGCATCAATATTAGGTTAATGGGGTTGGACTTGTAAACCTTTTGAAACACACAGTAGCAGACAAGGACTATGCAGTAGGCTAGTGACCATTAACACTCAAAAAGTTTTGAACATCCAAACAATGTAAAGTTCTTCACTGACCAAGTCAGTCACTTCAGCACATTGTTACACTTGCTTAAGACCAGACTGAAGGCAAAAAAAACCCTGAAATAAGGAAGAAGTGATGATGGCTGCAGTTCTGGCCTGATAGAGCCTTAGCATTAATAATTTTTTTTTTATACGCTTAGGGGCAGCAAAATAAGCTCTAAACATAACTTTGACATATCATCACCTTTATAAAGTTGTTCTGATCAACTTTTATAAAATGGTTGCCTATTCACATATCCAGCAGACCAGCTAGCTGCTAACTGTCTTTGTCTGGTGTTTCGTGCTGAGTAGGTATTGTACAGTTGGTTTATGAGAATGTTGTCACTGAAAACAGCAGCCTGCTTCGTCTGGAAATGATGCTGATGAGAGTGAGAGTGAGGGTGAGAGTGAACCATAACAAACAATGTGCTGAAAGATGCTAAATGATCAGTAGAACGGATGGGGACAGCGGAGTCAGGTGATAAATCTTTGGTTTTGTCACTACCAGTGACCCCTCTCACATTACAAATAGCCTTTTCAGCTTGCATTATGTCCCGCCATGCTCTACATAACAAAGGAACAAGTATGCTCATAGTAATTGTAGTTTATCAATAAGAATGCTAACAGAAAAATCAGTTTTATCTCATTAATATGTACCAAAATCTGATCAGCTCATCTATAACTGTCCATATCTACTGGGTCTTAAGTATGAGGTTTCTAGTGTATTGTTTTTGGGTTATCATGTACAGAGACACCAGCATGATGACATAATATCCTGCATACATAAGATTATTGATTAGTGCAGCTTTAAGTTCATGTTCATTAACATGTCCAATTACTTTTGTCTTCCCTATGGTTATAGGATTGTGTATAACAATTTCTTCACGGTTCAACTGATGTGGATAATCACAATCAGCTTGTATCTGACAGTGCTTTAACAAAAATATGTTTTCAAAAAGAAAGTATGTAAAGAAGAAAGTAAAAAAAGTATATGTGTTAGAAAACCATCACTGGACTTCCTAGGTGTGGTCCTTTGTCGTGGGTGCTTGAATTTTGAAGGCAGTAACAGTTAGCATATCATTTTCCGCTTTCTCTGTCAATCACCCAGAACACACACTCTACCACCATAGTGACACACACACCATTGCCCTCCACACATACTCTCCCCTGTCCCCTTGTAGACTGACCGATGCAGACGCTCTCATCATCCAGTTCAGCAGAGGCGTTGCGGAAGTATCCCAGTCTGCAGTGTTGGCAGTTCTGGCCCCTGGTGTTGTGCTTGCAGCTGACACATGTGATGATGTTCAGGTAGTCGATGTAGCTGCAACGGTTGGAGTGGCCGTAGCACTCACAGTCTAAAATAAAAGAGACAGATTTAAACTCATTTCTTAGGGGAGGATAGTTATACATTTTTATGTTGAACTTGCAATTTAAATGTAGAAAAATTGGAGTAGGATAGTATCTTTTTTTTAATCCGTTGCATTCTCTCAGGACTCTTTGACGACAGTAGGAAGTGATAAATGACTTGCACTAACAGATGTCTGAAAGTTTTAGTTTTAGACGTCAGTGAAGAAATGAATGACTCTGTGTGTGTTTTATGACTTGCCTTTCTGACTATATATTGGTTCAATAAAGACAGACCACTCCCTCTCCATTACTACACTCACAGGTTTGCTGAGTCTGCTTCACTGTGCTGCACTGATTACTGATGGGAATTCCACTATCCTGCGAGTGTGTGCGCGAGTGTGTGTACATGCTTGTTTATGTATATGGGTGCAGGCGCATGAGTACAGGCATGTTAATTGTGTCTGGGAATTTAATTGCATTATGGCATGAGTTGATTATAAGCTACAGAATCATAACCAAGGGAGTTTGAGGTGAGTGATACAGTACAATAAGAGTTTTCCATCTGCACCTGGCACTATGGAATAAGTCTGACCCCGATTAACCTGAGAAAAAACCTTCTTTCTCTTCTCTCTTTTCACTGTTTGTTCTTCATCTCCACAGACTTAAATTCTCTTTCATAATGCGCTGCACAATCAGAGCTTGTAATTAAATTTTCTCTTTGTAATTCATGAATTATCTGAGAGGATTTGAATGCAAGTTTTACTCTACATGCTGGAACGCTTGATAAATTAAGACTTCTTCCAAATTTCACACCCTTAAACCAAAGCTAAAAAATGATGCTGTGGAGAATGGTGTAATTTTTCCACAGAGGGAGAAATGAAAGCCTGATATCATTTACCGTCGGATCTGCATTGTGCAGAGGGATGCAGCGAGAGGTGGAGGGGTTTTGCTCTACATTCTCGCTACGATTATCTTGGCTGAGGCTGCTACCTAATTAAGGTTTTATTAAGCTTTAGAAGTTGGCTGCAATAGTGGCTGCAAGGCATCACTGTCCTCTAAAGAGGCGTTTACCAGGCATGTTTATGCAAATACACATTTAAATGCACATTAAAAAGTCGGAGTTTAGCTGTTTAATCAGCCGTCACATTATTATTTTATTATTGTTTGGTTGATGATGCCAGCTGAAATATTAATGAGCTGGTTTAAAGGAAGCCAGCGAGAGGAGCACCATAAAATGCCTCTCTCAGCACTGAGGGAACCATGCTAGCAGTGTGGGAAGAACTGCCTAATTAAATATAAATGGCCAATTACTCCACAGACTAGAGAGGCAATGGGACATTGTTCCACAAATTAATGTTACTAGTCAAGATGCTGCTTTACTGGTATTTATCAGCTGTGAATTGTTAACGGTGAAAGACGATTACACAGAGAATGAGAGACAGCTGTCTGCATCAAAGATTGTGTGAGGATGAAAGAATAATGGTATACTTTGCTAACAAGCATCTTTTTCTAAAATCAGTATACAGAAATGTTAGTGTGGGCAGTTAAGGTAAATACTTACCTTGATCATGCACATAAAGCAAACACAACCACGAGGGAGTCACAGATGCACAGGAAAAAACGAGCAAAATGAAAAAACTCAAAACATGCAATGAAAGGAATTTTTCCACAGGTTTTATCCTTGAAAATCAGCCTCAACACTTTAGTCAAATGACTAAAAGACTTTACAATCCACTGATCTAAGAATCTCACCAAGCTCAAGTTTCCCCTCTGTATCCTCAGACCATGTGCTGCTCATGTTGGTCTCTTACCTTTGAAATCATCGTATATGATCCCAAACAACTGTCTGGCCTGGGGCTCTCCTGAGATCAAGAGTTTCAGAAGCCCTTGAGGGATGAAGGAATCTTTGTGTAAGAGTCGTCTGCTCATCATTCACTGTGCCACAGTCGTCTACAGCACTATACCGTCACACAGGCGGAGCAGGTCTATCTTATAGGTGAGCATTAGTTCTACAGAGAGGTCGTATGGATTAGGTGGATGGGATTCCCACTAGATTCTACCTTTACAAAAAAAGAGGGAGTTGCTTTGTTCTATAAAGCTGATAAAATCCACACTCAGTGGTTGGAGAGAACCCAAAAATCATAATCAGGATTTAATGAGTCTACATGCAAGGAACTACTGTAGTGCTGCACCTGAGTAAAGAGATTTAAAGTTAAATCTAATTTGATAGCTTAACACTATTTTTAATATTTGCAATCTGATGTGGCTCGTTTTTTTAAAGCATCCATTAGGTTTTCAGATGAAAATATGAAATAATTTTCAAAGCAAAGATGAGATTAAAAGTCGATTCTTGACTTTGGAAACAGTGGTTCGCAAAATAATGCCAACAGAAATGATCATATGACACATTCTTCTTCATGTGATGGAATCAAAAGCCTCAGAGCGGCGTAGTGGATCTTGTTATGTGAGTGTTTTACCAACCACTGTTTCCACAGGAAAACAATTAACTCTAACTCTAACTTTAAGCCACACAAGGATGAGAAATCTTGAACATGCTCAAAAACGGAAATTTGAACATCTACAATGCCACGTCAACAGGGCAAACTTCATCTGCTGAAGACGATTGTGAGACACGATTAATTGACTCAAGAAAGAATTTTTAAAACCAAGATCAAAAGCTCTTCTGGGAAACATTTAGTTTGCTTTGTCAACATTAAATATTTTAAAAAGTGTTTTTCTGTCAGGCCGGCAAAGCAAAACCTTTTCAAGAGGCAGGTTAAGCTTTATTTTGCGCTGATGACACACGTGGAAGATTCAGCCAAGAGAAAGATGACTCAACTGTGGGCTCAAATGATTCGAATCACCACATTTAATGGAGCAGGAACATATTAGATAAATGCAATACTGTGCCACCTATTAACCTCATCGTGATAAAGTTTGGCTCCCAATGTGCAGCCAGTTATGAATCACTGTGCTGTTATACCACGTGTTCAGATTCTACCTTTCCTTTTCTCTCTTTCCTTCTCCTCTCTGTCTTCATCCTCTTTCCCAGAAGTGTGTTTTGTGGTCTCATGACTCCCTCTTTCCCCCTCCGGTTTTTCAAAGACGTGGTGCACTACAAACGAGCGAAAGCTTGCAAATCAATCTCTATTGATGATTATCTCAGGCTGTTAAACCAAACTAGATATTACAAAGATGACTGACAAGACAACAATATCTACATATTTGTTATAAACCTGTTCACATACTATAATGTAATACATGTGTGTTGACAAAGTTGGTTTTTTTAAGTTTTTTAGCCAAGTGTCATAAAGTGCAAAATTTTCATACTATTTATAAACAGCAAGAGGTAAAACTTGATGAAAATGCAATAATGTTCACACTGTTCTGAACATAAAAACAACAATGTGTTTACTTCAAGAGCATCTTTAATGTCAAATTCATCTTCCTTTTTCTTGTCTACCCATTTTTTCCCACTTCATCCTCCTGTTTGCTTTTTATTTCTTGCCCTTCAGTGTCAGTCATTGTCTCAGTTAAAAATATGGCGCTGCTGTTGGTAGCAAATTAATATTTAGCCTCATAGCTTATGTTGACTGACAGGTTATCATGCTGTTGAAGAGAGGAAGTTAGAGACTTTTCTTTCCAGTTCCCATTTTTCACTGTGAGGTGCCAAGTTTAACTCGCAGTGACAGTTGATCTTCTGCATATTTACTGCACTAAAAGAAATTTACTGCATATATTGCTACCACTACAAATAGAAGAGATACCTCTTCTGTCGGCTTTTCCTTCTGTGTGCTTGTCCTCCTCCTCCCTTTTCTGCCCGTGTTCAGGTGAGGTTGTTGTTCTGTGGCCGTGAGTTTCATGTACGTGTCCCTCAAAATTGTGGGAGACTTAAACACCACAATCATCAGTGACATAATGAGCAAAATTCAGGTAATATGATATGAAATACATTTTATGAGAGGATCTCCACCACTACTGGTAAAAGAGATACCTTTCCTTTCAGCTTTTCTTTCCTCCCCGTGCCCAGTTGTTCTGTGGCCGTGAGTCTCATGTTCATGTTCCTCAGACTTGTGGTGGACTGTTGCACCACAATTGTCATGAATGTAACAAGCAGAAACATCTTATGAGTAAAATATCTGAGTTTCTTTTTAAATGGTCCTCCCTTCCTTTCCTTTTCTCACCCCTAGTATCTCAAATAGAAAATATGATGTTGGTGCCAGATTAAGATTTTACTCTACAGCCTAAGTTTATCCACTAAACCATTATATAGTTGAACAGATGCAGATAGATGAATTCAGATATATTTCTGCTGTTTATACTGGCCCAGTTTAACACTGGAGGTGCCAAGTTTAGCTTGTGAGGAAGGTTTATCTACTGCATATTAAATGCAACACAACTACAGTATCTAAATCTACACCACTACATATAAGACAGATACCTTTACTTCCTTTATGCTCCTCTTCCCCGTGCTCAGATAAGGTTGTTGTTTTGTGGCCATGACTCCCATGTCCATGTTCCTCAGACTTGTGCGAGACTGAAACTGCCATTGCCATCAATATAGGAATCCAAAGTTAAGATGCATTTCTACTGTTTGCAATTTTCACTATGAGTTTAAATGGTGCTGAAAGTTTGTCTGTCACTACAGGTAAACTACCAAATTGCCACCGCTACATATACAAGCGATACCTTTTCTTTCGTTATGTTTCTTTTCCCCGTGCTCAGATGAGGTTGTTGTTTTGTGGCCATGACTCCCATGTCCATGTTCCTCAGACTTGTGCGAGACTGAAACAGCCATTGCCATCAACATGAGAATCCAAAATTTACATGCATTTCTGTTGCTTGCAATTTTCAGAAGGGCATTTTTATGCTACGAGTTTAAATTGTGCTGAAAGTTTCTTTGTCACTACAGGTAAACTACTGTATGTAAAAGTACTACAGCATGGCTGCTCACTGCTATATACAAGAGACCTTTTGTTTCTTTATGCTTCTCTTCCCCGTGCTCAGA